TTCTAAAAATGTTTGGATTTTACTGAAAATTTTTAAACATACCAATTTATTTCAATTCTTGTCTTACATTTTGTAGTCATTTTAATCAACATGATATAAGTAAGTACGTAATCTCTACGGGTACAAAATATTTACAATTTCCGAAAAGCAGGGGGTCTATTTATAAGCCCTCAACTTTCTTAGAGAGGATTAAAATTTCCAAGCGGCAGAACATGTTTTGCAGATTGTAAATCATTTTAGATTAACAGGTTGTGTTTGTAAAGACCTGTCATTATAACACGCAGAATTGTTACTTACTTACTTACTTACTCCGTGGCGTTACAACCCTTCGTGGGTTTTAGCCGACTCGACAACATGCCTCCACTGTTTTCTATCTTGAGCAACCTCCATCCAATTCTCCACGCCCATAGTGCTTAAGTCTCCTGCTATATTATCTCGCCACCGAAGACGAGGGCGTTCGTTCGTCAGAATGTCTTCTGAGGTGTCCTGCCCATTGGAGTCTTCTGGACTTTATTTCTTTTATGATGTTGGCGTCTGGGTAAAGTTCTTCAAGCTCTTTATTAGTTCTTATCCTATATTGTCCTGATGCTTCATCAAGAACCGGACCAAAGATCTTCCTTAGGATTTTTCTTTCCCAAACACGTAGTCTCTCTTCATTTGCCTTTGTTATCGTCCACGTTTCGCTTCCATACATCACAACGGGTCGTATGATTGTTTTATAGACCTGTATCTTCGTACGTCGTGTTAGTTGTTTTGATTTTATAAGGTTTTGGAGGGCAAAAATACATCTGTTGCCGTCCTGAATCCTGTTGTTTATTTCTTGTGATCCGTTATTGTCTTCAGTTATTGTTGTTCCAAGATACTTGAATTCTCTAACGCGCTCAAAGTTAAAGTCATCGATGGTAATGTTCTGACCGATTCTGTCTCTGCTTTGGTTATTGCGGCTCATATACATATATTTCGTCTTGTTTTCGTTGATTTGGAGCCCCATCTTCTCTGCTCGCAGAATTGTTAGTTATATAATAAAAAGCAATTAGTGAAGTTGTGTAGTAAAAATGTCACAAACTTCTAATTTTACTCCTGTGAAATTAAAGTATTATTTATTGTTAAATGTACATAAACATTTTACAAGTACTGTTCGTAGTAAACTTTCTAAGCGTTTAGATATGACCAGAGTTGGGGAAGCAACTATTTAAAGACTTTTAAAGCAACGAAAGAGTGGATAATTACAGAAACAACTATAGCGTCAACCGCGAGAAAACCCATTCATATAGACGATACTGTGAAACAATCGATTCGAAGAAAAGTTCATTAATTCTATTTACAATAAAAGATTCCTACTTTGGTTAATCTTTTAGTAGACATTAATGAAGAGGAATCTTTGACAAACATTAAAAGAGATAAGTACATTGTGGAAAACTTTATAGGGTTAAGATTCGTTCATGAGAATATCAATGGAAAATATGCGCTCATAGAGCAAGAAGAACTGATTTGTAGGAGGAGGCAATATTTAAGAGAAATTCGATAATTGAGGAGGGAAGGCAAAAATATTTTTTATTTATATGAAACATGGATAAATGAAGGGCATTTTGTAAAAAAGTTTGGTAAGAAGAACTGGAAAATGCTCATCAGACATCTATCGGTTTATCTACGGGCTTAAAATTTCCAAATGGTAAAGGTCGCCTTAAATTTTTTAATTATCATTCACATTGAAGTAGGTAAAGGATTTGTTGATGGAGGCTTGCTAGATTTTATTTCAAATTCTACGAACGACTACCATGAAGAAATGACTGCTAATGTTTTTGAGGAATATTTTAGTCAAGTGATAGATTTATTACCGACCAATTCTGTAATAGTCATGGACAATGCCAGTTACCATTCAAGATTAAGGAACTATTACCTAACACTAAATGGAGAATGCAAGAACTCTTGGATTGGCTAATAACCAAAGAAACAATAGTGCCAGCAGAAGGTTTGCTCAAACGGGAGTTATTGCAACAATATTCACCAAAATTTAAAAAGTATAGTGTAGATGAAATAGCAAACGAACAAGAAGTTAAGGTGTTGCTATTACCTACCACCTTATCACTGTGAACTTAACCTCATAGAACTAAACTTGGCTTAAATAAAGGGATATGTCGCGAGAAATAATAGGTACAACATTTAAAGTTCAAGATGTTCGTCAACTATTATCTGACTCATGAAATCCACCAGACGGTCAAACAAAAAACCAAATTGGCCATGTACTAATTGATAGTCGACATTTCTCGGACATACTAGATGTAAGAGCATGTAGAGGTGCTAATATAGACTCTGACCACTACTTTGAAAAAAAAACCTCAGGGCCCGTATATCAAACGCTAAGAGGGGCCAGAGCACAAAATCTACAAAATATAATATTGATGTGCTAAAATCTGAAGACGCTAGGGATAACTACAGGAAAATTTTAAATGAAGAGCTGACAAGAATCGACGAAAATTTAAGTATAGAAGAACACTGGACCAAATGCAAGGAAGCTATCCAGCGGCTAAAGTCTTTTTAAAACCTAACCAGGCTAAAATAAACGAAAATTGGTTTGATGAAGAATGTATATCCATTAACCAACAGAAAAATGAAGCATACAAGAGACTTCAGCAACGCAGAACGACATCAAACATGGAAGACTAGTAAAATCATATAGGAGAAGAAAAAAGGACGTTTAGAGTCATACGAAAACGTTCTAAACGAGATTGTTAACCACCACAACAGAAAAAACTCGCGAAAATTCTACCAGAAGATAAACACCTGTAGAAAAGAATTCAAACCTAGAATAACAGCATGTAAAGACAGAGATGGTTCCAAAATTAGTGACAAAGAACAGATAAGTACTAAATAGGTGGACGAATCATTTTGAAGGACTGCTTAGCGACAGTCGTGAAGAACACCAAATAGAAATTACCTTGCCTGAAATGGATGAAAACAGATGAAGCCATTTCAAAACTAAAAAATAACAAAGCCAATCTTCCTGCCAAACTCTTTAAAATTGGTGGTGACACCGTTCTTAAACACATGCATAAATTAGTAACCGAAATCTGGCTATCGAAGGAAACGCCGGCAGACTGGAAATTAGGTGTGTGATAATTATAGAGGCATCACCCTACTTAACGTAGCATATAAAGTATTGTCCAACCTATTGTACAGAAAATTGATCCCCTATGCTGAACAAATAGTTGGGAACTGCCAGTGCGGTTTCTGACTCAATAAATCAACAACGGATCAAATCTTCACAGTCAGGCAGATTCTTGAGAAAACGCTTGAGTTAGGAGTCGATACCCACCACATATTCGTGGATTTCAAAGCCACATACGACTCAGTCAACAGACAAAAACTTCTACAGGCTATGGTGGAATTTCAAATGCCGCTTCATCTTGTTCAACTAACGGAACTTACACTCACAGGCGTAGAGAGTGTAGTCAGAATAAAACGACTTCTCAAGACCCTTCCATTGTAAAAATGGACTGAGACAGGGAGATGGATTGTCGTGTCTCTTATTTAACCTTGCACTAGAAAAAGTAATTCAAGGCCAGTGTTAACATACAGGTCAGAAACTTGGTCACTTACATAAAACGAGCAAGAACTGCTTAGACATTTCAAGAGAAAATATATGGAGGAGTCCAAGAACAGGGTTTGTGGCATAGGCGCTACAACTTTGAATTATACAGAAGTTTTGGGGAACCTGGCGTTGTAAAATTTATTAAATTAGCACGTCTTCGATGGACAGGAGATGTAATTAGGCTAGATGAAGATGCAACGATCAGAAAACTTTTCGACCGAAGAGGACCAGTGGGAATACGACCCACTGGGAATACCAGTCTACTACTTATAGCATAGTGCTAATAAATAATTCTTTAGCAATATACTGTGACTTAGGCTAGAATATGCTGGTGTATCAGATATTGGGTATACACTTAAAAAACCAGCATCTAAATATCGATACATTTTTGGCAAAGTAACGTAAGTCACCAAAAACGATTTGTAAAAAAAACAATTTTTTAATTCAACCTGGTTAAACTTATTTAAATTATGACTGAAAAAACTTGTCCTAAAAAAGGTTTAAAGTAATTCTAGGCTTACTACACTCTTTCAGTACCTTTTTAACAGTAATAGCATTAGTTTAATTGAAAAACATTATTTTCGCCAAAATTGTCACTTACGTTACTTTGCCAAAAATGTATCGATATAATAAAACCAGAAACACTCATTATATTTGTGATTTGGCAATTAATTATCTAAACAAATTATTAAAAAAACATCTACCTATTTTCATTTTTCAAAATAAATGTCTTCATGAAAGGCAACCAATAATGGGTAAATAAGTAGGAATTCAGATAAATTGTGCTGTCACCCTCCCCAAAGTCTCAAAGAGTACAGTGCTACAGTGTCATTGTTAGTAATGGCCTCTAGTTAAAAACAAAAAAAATTGCACCTGTATTACAAAAATTAAGGACAAGTGAATGATCAAGGCTAAATTTTTCATTGAAGAAATATTTTGGTTTTATGAAAATTTGGTACACTTTAGTTCATCAAATATAGCTGAAAGTGTGAAATTCCCATTGCCTGCACTAACAACGAAGTGAGAACCCACATACAAATGGTCTGAACCGTCAGTGCGAGTGCGAGGTCCGTCATTTGACGAATGCGCATCATGATCCTCACATGTTTTCACACTTTCAGCTATATTTGGCAAACTATACATATCCTGTTTATTTTGATAGATTGAATGTCAGGTTTATTATAGATGTGGTGCAGCTTTTGATAGAACAAATGTCAGTTCTACTATGCATATGATACAGGTACCCTGGACAGCACACCACACAAATATCTAAATAATAACAGAACTTGACATCAACACTGGGTTTACCACAACCAAAATATATTGAGAACACCACTGAAAAGCAAATGCACGAAAATATATACATCCCATCATTATGAATGGTTAACAAATAAAACTTAAAAATGTTCTGTTAATATTTAATTACATTACTATAATTTTTTTTATCTGGGAAAAATACCTGTAAACTATTTTGATAAATTTGTTCACATAAAACATCACTATTTTCATTCTTAACTTTAGCTACAATGTCTAGTATTTGTCTTATATTACATGGTTCATTTCTGCTTTTAACCATATGGTCAGGAATCCATTTCTCTTTCTTAACAGAAGGTACATCTAAGCTTTCCTTGGAAATAAATTGATAACCTGCATGAGAAGGTCTAACTTCACACCATGGACAATCAGTCTCCAGGAGAATTTTATTACTGGGTAATGATTTAACAGTCTCTAAATTTTGCAGAGTTTTTAAGGAACATCCATTCAATCCAATGTAATAACCTAATTCCAAAAATTTATTAGCTTCATCTATTGACCCATCAAAGCTATGCACTACTCCTGTTAGGCCCCTGTACCTGACCAGAATATTATATAAATCATCAGCAGCATTTCTGCAATGCAAAAATAAGGGTAAATTAAATGTTTTGCTTAATGAAAGTTGAAGTTCGAAGTATTTTAGTTGGATATCTTTTGGGCAAAATTGCAATCGGTCATAATCAAGACCACATTCGCCCACAGCTACAACTTTATCACCAGCTTCAACTATAATGTCTTTAAGTTTGTCAAGATAAGAATGTCCATCTTCACCATTATCTTCAAACTCTTTACACTGAGTTGGATGACAACCTACAGTAACAAATAATCTTTCATCATTGTCAGCTACTTCTAAAGCTTTTTTACTTTCATCTAAATTTCCACCAGTTATAATCATTTTTTGTATACCTGCTTTCCAACTTCTATTTAAAACTTGTTTCAAATCTGGCTCATGTTTTTTATTCCCATTGTATATGCCTGAATACATAGAGTCTGTGAGATTTGCTCCTATATCAATAAACTTCCTAAGACTAGCCATTTTTTAACTTAGTATTTGATTTATCCAAATTCTATATATTTCAGTATAAATACAACGAATATAGGTTTAACCTTTTCAGTATATACTAACTCAATGGCATAGTACATACCCCCCTAGTAAGGTAACTCCCATATAAAGTTTTGGAAGAGAGTTTCTAGCGCCAAATACGGACGGGCCGAAACTAATTTCATTTGGCGGCAAATTCAAAAAATATGCTCTGAATTTTAGGCGCCAAAATTCAAAAAGTATGTTTTTAATGGAAAGTAAATATAGTCATAAAATAAGAAATAAAAACTTATTCTATGCCAGAAAATATATCCTCTCTGTCCAAAAATATAGTATACACCTACACATTTTTATATATATATATATATATATATATATATATATATATATATATATATATATATATATATATATATATATATATATATATATATATATATATATATAAATGTATAACATAATATCTGATACAGAGAGAGTATATATTATGGTACAAGAAAGTTTTTATTTAATATTTTATGATTATATCTGTTTTCCATTACATTAACAAACCAAAGTCCCAAAAATAACAAAATAAAACACAAACATCCTGACACTTGTTTATTTGTATAATTTTCTTTGGTAAAGTATTGGCAACATATCCTCCTCCTCCTCCTTACTTAAGCCCTTGTTAAGGTGTGGGTGGGGACACTCTAAATATTGTTAACTTGCTGTCTCCATTGGCTGCAATTCTGTACCAGATGAACAACTTCGTGAAGGGATTTTTCCACCAATCTTCATTTAATCTTCCCATCATGTTGTGAGATCGTCATTTTGATATACAAATATAGATACCTCTATATTTATTAGCAATGGTTTGTAGTAAGTTCCATACCTTCTAAAATACTTTTCCTTAAAGTACCATATGTAGATAATAAAGTGTAAACCCTAGCATGTCTGCGATCTTGCTCTTCACAATGATCACAAATTGGCATGTGACTCAATGTAACTGTTACTCAGAAGTAGAAGATCCATGAAAATCTAAAATAATGAAATATTATTAAAATTAAGAATGTATTGACTTTTTTTATAAAATAAGGCCAATTTTAGGAATGCAATTAAAAGAGTCATAAGAGTTTTTTTTATAAAATAAGGCAATGTTTAGGTATGCAGTGATAAGAGTTTTAATGAGTTTAAAATCTATACAGTATATAAATATAAGATTAATGTTAGTTAAGATTGAAAGGTAAATTAACTACAAAAACAAAATAGTATCAAGTTTGTATTTACTAAAAGTTTGGTATAATTAGGTGCTGTTCTTACCTGGTGCTTGTAAAAATAAACTCCTAATCCTCAGAATGTTTAATAGCCGTTTGTCCAATAACTTTCACCCATCAACAAAAAATATTCTTTGGAAATACTATACCATTTTGGTAATGTACCTTCTTCTTTAGCAGGTCTATTAGATATATAAAATTTGATGTATACTGTTTTTATCGTCTATTTCTAAAATTTGGGATACGACTATTGTAAACAGTGTGGTGTAGAATTGTTTATTTTCCTCATAATAAATGTCAACCATTATGAAAACAAATCCATTTCATTTTTTGGGTTTGGAAAACGAAATCGACTGTTTGTGTAGTCGGTGCAACCATGAACATAACATTTTTTTACCTTTTATTCTATTTTGTTCCATTTCAACGATGGTAAAACACAATTTTTACAATTAAGATGATAATAACCAAATCCAAACACAAATCTGAATTTGCAATATGGCGTCCCAATCTAAATTAAATTTCGCCACAGCACATGCGTCTCCACCTCCCACCTAACGTGACTAGTAGCGCCGCCGCCATTAAGAACGGATGGGCCCATGCAAAACACTATCCCCTCCCGTCCTATTCTACTTACACTACAGCCCCGTACATACCTGGATACAATCGGTGGAAACATTGTCGGCCGACTGTATTTTTGTTGTTTCTCTCCAGTCGGCCGATTTTGCAGCGACTTCCCGGTAACATCGGGCGGCATTTTATCAAAGGAATCGCCGAGTTGGTTGTTTCCCGCTTTAAATGGAAAACATCGGCAGGTGTGTACGGGTTTCAAATTTAGATATATTTGTTTTCTGTGAAAACGGAATAATTTTTGAGGTTCGTTTTTTTTAATTTTAAGTAGGTAGTGTTTCTGTTTACTTTAAATTAACAAAAAGTGTGTGTAACATGTGGACAACTGAAAAGACTTTAAATTTAATAGAAAGTTTAAGACAAGTACCATCCTTGTGGAATGTCTCGTGTAAAGAGTACAGAGACCGCAATAAAAAAATGGACGAAGTAACACGGTTATCAGAAGAGTTTTCTACAACTACAGAAGAAATAATAAAAAAAATTAAATCTCTAAAAACACAATTTCGCAGAGAACATAAAAAAATTCTTGACGGTAACAGGAGTGGAGCAGGTACATCATCGCCTTGTACCTGGTTTGGATACGAGCATTTACTGTTCTTAATTGAAAATAATGAGTCCAGAGGAAGTCGAAGTACAATAATTGTAAGTAAAAATAATAATTGCTTTATTATATTAATTGTTAAATATAAAATTATAATACTTATATGTATTATATTATTATACCATTTTATGTTAAGCAAATTTGTCCTGCCATGACACTTTCCCTAAATCTGTACAAAAATATTGCGCAAATTCTTTTCTAATCTGCTTTTCTGAATTTGATGATTTCCTTGGAAGATTTTGAAGGCTGAAAGGACTCGACGCGTTATCAATTTCATTTCTCCATGAACCGTCAATGCTAGTACCTGTATCTAAGTATTCTGTGTCGAACGTTCCAGGGGGAGAATATATGCTTCTGGATTCTTTATTTCGTCGCAAGTAGTTATGCAGATGAACACAAGTTAAAACAATAGATTGCACCTTTTGTGGTTCCAAAGGTATAGATCGCCTAAGTATTCTAAAGACTGCAGCTAAAATTCCGAACACATTTTCGACTATTCGTCTGGCTCGCGATAGTCGATAATTAAATATTCGTTCAGGTGATCCTTTCGGATGATGGCCTGGAAACGGCTTCATTATATTTTCAGCTAACGCAAATGCGTCATCTGCTACAAGTACATATGGTATCAACTTATTTCTTCCTAGTAATGGCGAAGGACATGGTATATTTAATTGATCTCTTGCAAGTTTTTTAAAAAAACTCGTGTTTTGAAAAACTCCACCATCCGATATTCTTCCCTGACAACCTACATCAGCATAAATTATACTATAATTAGCATCCACAATAGCCATAAGAACAATGCTATATGTTCCCTTATAATTGTAGTAAATGCTGCCACTATTTGCTGGAGCATCTATAACAATATGTTTGCCATCCATAGCCCCAAGGCAGTGTGGAAAATTCCATCTTTCATTGTATTCCTTTTCAATGTTTTTCCATTCGGCTTCTGTTTCGGGCATCTGAAAAAAATATAAAGACTGTATTAAACATCCTTAATATTCATAGTGCGAATCGTCCCCTTCCGTAGTAACTTATGTAGAATCGTAGGTTGTAGGGGGGGGGGGGCTAAATTTAGACACTTTATTTTTCTTGGCAACGTTTCATTGTTTACTTACAATTTTTTCAAGCCCTTAGAGTACAAAACACAAATTAGTTTTAAGTCTCTAATCATTGTGTTTTGTACTCTTGGCTTGAAAAAATTGTAATTAAACAACGAAACGTAAAGTGTCTAAATTCAGCCCTCCCTACAACCCACAATTCTACATAAAATCCTTAATATTATGTTTTAAAATCAAGAGTTCTTTAATGTTGCCTACTACAAATCATCAAACGCATTTGTAATCAGTACGACGACACTACTTAATTTTATTTATTTTTAGGAAAAAGAATCAATTGAAAGTGAAAATATTGTTGACGACGTAGAATCAGTAAATGAGGAAATCATTCCTCCAAGTCCTCCAGCTAGCAAACCTAAGATACAGAAACGCATTTATTCTGAAAATGCACAAACGCCTTCGTCAACACGTTTGACCCAACAAAGAAAAAAGGCTAAATCACTGGAAGACCAAAGAATAGAAGAAGCCTACAAATTTATGACCACTGTGAAAGATCAGATCTCACGCAAGGATCCCTATAGTGTTTATGCCGATTATATTTCAAATAGGTTGAGGAATTGCAGTCAAAGTATTAGAGCCCAAAATATAGCTAAACACCAAATTGAAAATATACTATTTAATCTTGAGATGGGCATATATAATGAAAATGTATCTCAAAATATGCCAGGAAATGTTGAAAGATTTAATTATACCAATAGCAACACTCCTGCCTCAACTGTATTGAATACTCAAACATCACCCAATCTATTTTCGCCATCTCAAGATCCTAGAACTTATTTACATTCTTCAAGAAGCAGCACTCCTGCATCGACTGTATCGAATCCTCATATATCTCCATATCCATTCTCACCGTCTCCAAACTCTATATCTAGCCCCTCACAGATGTCCCAAACTTATGTCACGCAATCCACAATTGTGGATGATTCAGAAAATCTAATGCAAAAATCTAATGTAATGACAGAATTAGGTCAATTTTTACTTCTACCAGAATCCACATAGTATTAGTTTCCAGTTACTTTGTCTATGTATCATAACATAATAAAAAATAAAAATACATAATTGGTATAGATTTACTTACCTTTACAAATCCTGCTAGTGTTTCTATAAGAGCTTCACATACTTCTGGTATTATAGATGATATTAGTTGCTTTGATACTTTAAATAAATACATCAAACTGCAATATGAATCTCCTGTTGACAGAAATCGTAATGTTATGGCTAATCTTATTGATGGTGGAATGGCAGCACGAAAGTTTGTATTAGTTTTTGAAATTTTAGGACCAACCATTAACAGTAGATTTTCAAAATCTGCACTTGACATCCTCATAAAATTTCGGAAACCACTTCCATCTTCTAACTTAAGGTCATTCATTAAACCGTTTCCATAATTCACTCCATCTCGTAAAAGGCTTTTTTGCCACCAACGTCTTTTTTTATTTTTTTTATTTTTCACAATTATTAAATATG